TAGTTAAGTGCCTTAAAAATGCCCCATTTCTGGTATTTCAGACTTTACAGAATTACGCTGTACATGTGCAGAGAGCTCTAAGACAGCAATTGCTGATAGCACAGGATCAAACTGATCAATAGGAAAGGCTGCCCACTGCACACACCAATTTGTTCCTACCATGAAGCACATATTCAGGGTTTGTTTGGTATTTATTATTTATTTATTTATTTTAGCACAGAAGATGTAGGGCCAACTCTACTTTCAAAGCAAGCCACTAGTTTAACTCCTGGTTCCAGCTACTCCTAACTTTTGATCGAGCTTAGTAAACTTTGTCCAGGTTCCAAAAAGTGACAGCACCTGAGCTTAACAAATCCTTTCTCACTAAGCTTTCAATCTCATCATGCTCTTAGCCAAGTCCATTTTAGCAGTTTGAGCCAAGTAAAATAGAGGAAAACCTCAAGCTGAGAATATGATTACTGGAAGTACTGGTTAACTGGAAAGCGTCTCTTTGTAGGTGCTTTGTGCAAGAGTCATCAAAATAATTGCAGTGCTTTTGCAAAAGCAAAACAAGTTGCAGAGAGTATTACTAGAATACACTGGCTGGTTTACAGCTTTGCGGCGACAGCAGTGATCACTTTTCCCCACTGCGTTATTACCTTCGTAAGACTACTTGTCAATAATCAGAGTACTACTGTAAAAGGGATACTTTAGTGATAAACAGCACAAGGTTTACAGGCAAAGAGAAAGGATTTCATCAACCTAACCAACACAGTTGGAGAAAAGTAAGCAAAAAAACCCCCTCTAAAGTCATCAACAAGCTTTCAGGCTCTCATGTGCTACAAACCTGAGGCAGAGTTTCCGGACCTGAAAGAAAGTTTGTCTCTCTCCTGTGCCTCCCACCCAAACCCATATTGCTTTGCTGTGGTGATAGCGTGGATTTAGTTACATCAAAGTGATCTCAAGTCTCCTACTTTCACCATGATTCAACACAGCTAGCAGGAAGCTCATCCAAATAGAGAGATTTTAATCTGGTTTTGCATTTGAAGTATTATCTAGAAGCCACATTTCTACAGCTGGCAATACAACCAAGGGGGGTTGCTCCCATAAAACTAAAACAGAATATTTGAGAATCATCTTGATGAACTTTCAATAACCCTAGTAGATTTGTCCCTCCCAGCCCTACCGTGCTCATTCCTGGACCTGAAGAGCTCAGCTGCTGCCCAGCAATGGTGCTGGGGTGAGAAGAAGGGAGGGAGGCTTCTGCAGCACCCCGACCATACCTGGGCTTCCACTCACCTACCTCCCACCCTTGCTAGGGTGAGGGGAAAACCCTCCAAAACTGAAAATTTCTCTTTTTTTTTTTAAATGAAAAAAATAGATCAACATTTCCCTTCCAGGGGAAATTCTGAATATTTGAAGTTCCAACTCAGAACTAAACTTACTGAATACTTTCCATTGAATGGAAATACCAGATCTGTGAATAATTCTACCTAGTACCACGGCTTACAATTCGGTGTGTTCATCTATTGACGCCTTTAAAGCTATCCAATTTAATTGTATCACGGCATAATAAAATAAATTAAAATTAAAAAAATAAAGTGTTTAATTTTTCTAGCATGCAAAATACAGAAAACTTAAATTATTTAACATAAGTTATTAAAATAGGAAAAAGTCACCTGTGGTGAGTGATTAAAATAATCATGGGTCATTATTGCCACAAAAAATGTATAAGTGGAAAAGAAAAATTAAAATAGACTTGTTTAATTTCACGCTTTATTCCTTCATTTTGAATGATTTGCTCACTGAACTGAAGGGAACAAAGTATGCTTTCTCTGAATCTTTCAAAGAAGTCATTGCTAATGTGTCTGGCACTTGAACATATTTGGGTCTAAGCAGCTAGGTAGTGGCTTTCATCAGTTTAGCAACCTGGCATTTTTAATGACTTCAGCAGCTAACAAAGACATAAAATATTGGAGCTACGTTTGGTAAAGCTACAGCAACCTCAGTCAAATTCCAATCTGAGAATTTATAACTCACTACAGTGTTATGAAAAACCATGCCGATGTAAGAAAGTAGTGTTGCATTGAGTATACATGGGGTGAGAGCACACAAGTCTTGTGGACAGCCAAAAAAATGTCAGCAGCAGCAGCATCCCCCACTGACTGCGTGGACCAAGTTCCCTTCTGAAAGGGAAGAGGGCAAAGCAACACTCAGTTTTTCTTCTCTGGGTTCTGCAGGCCTCAAACATGGTTTCTTATTAAACCATCGCCACCTCTTCTGTCTCAGTTTATCTTCCTTAACCATGAAAAAAATGCCATGCAATTATATTGAAAAACATTCAGACATATTTATTCAGTCTTTAAACAAACGTACAGATCAGTTAACGGCAACAAACAAATGACAGCAAAACTTGGAAAATTTCAAGCTAAAAAACCCCTAACCATAAACAAGACAACTTAAAGATGAAAATATACTCAGATACTTACTTTACATGCCAAAACACAGGCTCAGGAAATCCATGCGTTAGGAAGTGTGTTAATTACTATTATCTGGGAAACAAAGAATTACCCAAAACATTTCTATATAGTGATCTGAACCATCCTCCGAAGACAACCGTCTTCCTTTTGGCCTTGCACCTTCCATCTGTTTCTTCCACTCCTGTGGCTTTATGAATTTGTTTTTTGTTGTTGTTGTTTTACAAAAAAATAAGCTCTGGTTTTATCATAAACACAAAAGTCAAAAGAATTTAGGGTAAAGTACCAAGGATCATCTTCCTAGATTGGAATACTGAAAACCACAAAAGTTTGTATTACACTGTTACATTTACTTATCTTGAAAACATAAATTTCAGTTTGTCTAGTGGTCTATGATGAGCAACATTCTAGATGAGGTAGATTTGAGAAATATTTATATCACTATAATGATATGAATGTTGCGGGGGAGAGGGAATGAAGTTGGCACAGGAATTTAATGACCCTCCCCCCACACTGTTCCTTTACCTCTGCAATAACAGATAGTGCTGCTAGCTGACTCTGTATAACCTGAGTTTTGTTTTATCTCACTGAAATCCCTGAGGCTTTATTCTCGTTTTGTCTCATTAACCAATTTTTAGAATGTCTTTTTTTTCCAGCCTGATTGTAAGTAAAAAATTTAAGCCAATATGGGGTCTGCTAGTTCTGCTACATTTCTCCTCCCCTTTCTACCATCAGTAAGGAGAGGTAGATAAGAGATGTGGAGGAAACTGTCTATTTGAGAGGTTCAGTGGGGATTGGGGAAAGAAATGATTTATTGAGAGAGAGGGCATAAAAAAGAGGGTAAAGGATGCAAATTGTTAGCTAAGAAGCAAGCTCTGTTCGTTTTACTTCTCACAGAACAGTATGTTCTAAAAATGTGACATTTCATTCCACATTTTTGATTGAATGGAGTTGAGGACAGGGCTGAACTTTAAAAGGTTAGTGGCTGTAGTTTGTTCCTAGCAAACTTCTGAGGAGATCTCTCCCCAGTCTCCTAAGACTGACTATATCAATTACTAATGCACCTGCACTCAGCTGAGAGGAGCAACATATTCCTGAACACTAACCATAAACAGCTTGCATGGATCCCTTCCTCCCCATTACATTATTTTCTGCCTCCAGCACAATCATGGTATTGGTGTTACCCTTGCAGCAGAGGGTAGAAACTGATGCTTAGGCTTCAGAGCAGAGACATGTCACAGTCGTGCCAGAAAATGTTGCTGGCTAAAGCAACTTCGAAACAAAACCATCAAAAAAAAGGAACAAATCAACTAATGATTTACAAAAAAAAAAAAAAAAAAAAAAAGAGAGAGAAAAAAAAAGTTACCAAGCTGCTGCAGTAAAATATAGAATTTTTTTTTTCAAAGTCAAATCAGCACCTTGTTTTACATTGCTAAGTTCCTAGAAGGGAAGCTCTAATCGTAGCCTCCTCACTACAGAAAGAATCAAGCTTATCCCTTAGAAAGCAGACCAAGGTTGTTACCCCTCTTCCCCCAAATCCATGCGCTCAGCAGTAAGGATGGGTCTTGAAGTCTTTGAATTGAGTCAGTTCCAGTGGTTTAGCACTTGCTAATCAATTTGACCACAGCTCCTTAGATTCATGCATCCATCCTGTTAATTTTGCTGGATGGACTCAGGATGACTTAGCTTCCAAAAATCAGGTGTTTTCAGGCCAATATGGCCAAAGTACAATCACAGTCTGGTGAGACTCAAAACAGTTATCTGCCACTGCACAATACAAGTGAAAAATTCTATTTATCATTTTAAACAAAGTATAATTAACCCAAGGAGTCCATGAAGGCAAGACATTCAAGGACAGGTGCTTGAAAGGATAAAAAACCTAAGCCTTTTCTATGAATAGTCTGAATATCAGCTGGAAAGCAGAGATGCTTTTCATACACATTTTAAAGAACGTTTGACCAGGCAACAGCTGACACACATCAACCAGAAGCTTAAGAAGGTCAGTCCATAAATGCGGTCTGGAAAGCACCCTGCCCTGGAACACACAAATCAGGCCATCCACGAACGGTCCATGCTTTGGCATCCTACCTGTCAGCAGTTCCACATCGTAGCATTAACGAGCCATCTACTGTAAACAAGCCTCATCTCACCTGCTGTGAAATAGAGCCAAATACTTCAGAGAAGTCATGGTGCTTGCTCCAAAAAACTCATTTACAGTCTAACGTGAGGCACAAACACAAGTGCAAATGACAAGTAATAGGGCAGAGCTGACTGGAGCCAGAACAAGAGATGCTGCAATGCACTCAGATGAAAGTTATGTACACACGCATCTGAAATGATGCAAGATGAGTATTTCTAGCAGAGATGGAGGAATGGCCACTGTTAGTGATGTGTCTTCTGAGCATCAGAGAAGTAAGGCTCAGAAAGTACTCAGTAAGGTGAAAGCTGGTCAATGTCTTGCAGACCTCTTCACATCTGCGTTGTCACCTGAGGTACGGGAGCAGGAATTAAAGTCTCCATCTTTCCCTGGTAGAGCAGAGTTTATCAGTTTTCTTTCTCAGAATTAGTGCACTCTGGAGTTTCTGTTAAAATTAAAGAATGAATTTCTTCTTCCTTAATTAACTTGTCATAAGCATTCACAGAATTGTCCTTTGCACAGCTCTGAAAGAGAAGAACAACATTTTTCACAGTGATTATTCATGGCAAGCATTGTTTTTTCAGACCAATTAAAAAGGGAATACTGGATTTTGGACTCTAACTCCGTTTGCAATTTGGAGGCCACAAAAGGAGACTTATTTTCAAAAAGTCAGCAATTCCTGCAACTCCTGTTCAACTGAGAACATCCAATGCACATGCACCACAAGCCACCCAGACAGTCATTATCCTCTACAAATGGTTCACTTGCCCATAGCAAGTCTTTCATCAACCAAAGCTTGAAGCAGCTATAGTTAGTTTTGTTCTTTTGCTAATGAGAAGCTAAATGTCCTGATTTTCTTCATAGCTAACTGATTGTGACAAATGTAAAAGCACTAAAAATACAAGTTTCTGTAAGTCAAATATGAACAGCTTTATTCAGCATCATAAATATAAGCAACTAGCTGAGAAACATCTGAAAGTTCAGGAGAAGTAGTTTAGTGGAGTTGCAAAAAAACCCCAAACCACGCAACAAAAAAACATCAACCAAAAAAACCCAAATAACAAAAAAAACCCAAATCCAAGCCAAAACCAACCCAAACACATTTAAGGGACTAGCAGTCTGTGAAATAACAGAATAATGCAGTTTTGTTAATGTATCTAGAAAAGTATATGCAATTTGAGGGAAAAAATCCACCTAAGCTTTGGGCAATAGTTTCTGAACAACTCTTATTATTGTAAATACTTTGTCTTCCTTTGACATACTAACATATAAACAGTTGGTTTTACAATAGACATAGGTATTGCGAAAAAGAAAATTGTAATCCTACAGACTCCGGTTGAATAGATGATTTGGCCGATAGATGATACTAACCTGAGAATCCTCATTCTGCTCTCCAAACATGCGCTTCAGAATTTCTCTGGGGTCCGGAATTGGTGGAAGAATGAATATCTTAAGCCTTCAGAAAATTAAAAAGAGAAGCTTTAGATGAAAGATGTATTAATTTAAAAATCACTGTTTTAATGTCATACTTGGATACAGTCAAGAAAATTTGTGGTGTCAGCTTCGACATCACTGGCCAGCTTTCATTCTCTGCAACCGTATCCCAGTTCTCATTTTTACTCCCCAAATCAAAAGCAAATGGCAATGTTCACACAGACAGATTCTAAATAACTTTCACTGTTGACAAAGACAGCAGCAAAAGTTGACTTTTAAAAAATCTGGTAAAATATATTTAAGCTTAATGTTGAATTTGGACTTCATTGCTTTAAGAGAGGGGATGCAATAGCTGTGCAACAAGAATATAACTGTAAGCATACATGAGCAATGTATGCTTATAAAAAGTACGACCAGAGCATGTATATGGTCTATAAACCTAATTGTAATGACTGAAGCACAATGGTGCTGCCATTTTTGTTTTGCAATGCATGTTATGGATAAAACAGATGTTACTGGAACATGCCACACCATGGAGACTTACCGGGAAGAGAGATTAATTGTAACACAAGTCAAAGACCAGTCAGAATTAGTGGACTGTAAATAAGGGAGATAGTTATTTACCTCTTCAGATAAACTAGTAGAATTATTGTAGATACTGCTACTATTAATGGAATGGCAATTATTAAAACAAAATAGAACGTAGAGTCCATCTTCTCACCTGGAAAACGAAAATTTTACAAACTTAGTCATGTTTTTGAAGGCTTTTTAGGAATAATGACAACAAATTAATTAATTCTCTAATTAATTCATAGACAGAATGTTTTTCAAACACACTAGCACTTTTATAGGCAAGGACTCATTTTTCAAAACATGATATTATAATGTAGATACATTTTGGCAAGAAAACGAAAACCAGTGAGACTCAGGGCTGAAAAACTGACAGCACTGGAAAGGGGTCATTGCACAGCTACATGGATGGCAACCCCATCAACATATACAGCAGTATGGGCAGTAATTGATGGTGCTGCTAAAGGACTAGAACTCTCTTGCCGTCTTTTCACCTAAAATTTAATAGATACATAGGAAGATGATCTTCGATGCTCACTTACTTAGCAGACAAAAGGTATGAGACACCTTAGAGATGAAGAGTAAAGTGCAACAAATTGCAGGAACAATTGTTCTCACCAATACTCTTTTCTTCACTCCAGTCACTATAGAACTTGCTGCTGTAACACTCGGGCTTTGGTTTTGCTCTCACTTTGAAGATGTGCTTGCTATTAGGATCAACACCAGGAACTGATGTATGATTATTATTTTTAACCTAAGGTGAAAAGAAAAGGTAATTCGCCTTGTTCAGTTACCAATGTATCCTCAGTCATTTACAAGCCCATTTTCATTGTGCAGTTAATGTATTCTGGATGCCTTTGTGGAAGATCTTTTTGTGACCACTGAACCTCATAAAAAAGGACATAGTAGCATTTAACCAGCACAGACTGCCTAAACAGATTTCAAAGATAAGATTTAAACTTATTCACTGGCTACATCTATCATACAGCAGTTGGCATCAATGATTAAACTAAGAGTCAGTGTCTGGAACAGTGCCTTTTTTTTGGAGAAACATCTGTGATTTACACTGCCTTCCCGTCTCTGTCAGGGCAGCAGTGCTCATCCAACTTTGACCATGCAATTCTTTGTGGTGCATCTACAAAGACACACAAGCACACTAGCTGGGATCAAACTTCACTTATTTTTGATCCAAAATGCCAGTTTCCTGGGAAATGTTGATATTATTTGAATTTGCTAAATTTGGGGGTAGGACAAACAACTAAATACGCTCCAGAGGAGAAGACTGACACCTTACTTTTAAATTTATCATACTGTTTACCATTCTGATCAAACAGTACAGTCAGTTTGGCTATGGAGATACAGGCATGAGTACATCCAGACACTGAAGTCAATGCTTTTTATATATACATTAAAATCAGTGTATCTAAGACTGCATGCCTTTCCCCCTACCCCCCCTCCCTCAGTCTTTTTAGCCTCTAGCACTTCTTTAGAACATTCTGTGTTCTTCTTCTGTGCACACACGATTAATTTTGCTTTATGGTAATGAAGTCACATCACTCAAGAACAGGGCAGTGATCTGACCAAGTGCAGACCAACGACAGGAAAACCCAACACCAACAGATCAAAATCCTGCATCACTGAGAAGCAAACAGGTACATGCACCGCAGTGTATTTCCTGATAAGTGCTGTGTAGTTGAGTATATACTTGGTTATTAGACTGTTCTTACACGTTACTGCTTTGCCATAACAAATGATGGCAAGGATTTGAGACTCACACGAATTGTGTTGTACAGATATTGCTACCAGAAACCTACTGTAATGGGAGAAAAATCTTATGTCTCCACAATAGTTTCAGCTCGTGCACCCGTTCACAGGCAGCATATAATTTTTCATCTTTAAACAGATATTTGAGTTACTGTGAATATCAACACAAATTATACAAGACACATAGGAAAAAAATCAGTTAACTCTAAGTAATGAAAAATTACTTTAATTATCTGAGCAGTGTCCAAATCAGCATTGCGATATTCAACTTCATAAAATAAACAATTTTTTGGAAAGGTGTCCGATTCACTCCATTCTATATATATTCCATCATTGATCTTTGACAGTGTAACTCGTCTTGGTGTAGCAGGTTTTACTGAAATGCAAAATGGAAGAATTGGTTAAAAAGTATATTTCACTGCTTAAAAAAATTGCTCAAGTCCCTTATTGCATAATATTATGCCTATACTAGCTTAGGAACAGAAAGAGGAAAAAATTAGCACCAAGAAGTCAAGAAAGAATAAAACCAGCGAAAGAATAAGAGTAAAAATGAGTGCAAAATGACCCTCCCCCTAAAAAGCCAAGCCCTGTCTACATAATCTCCAAATCAAATATCAATAGAAGAAGGGAGCTTCTAATCATGTTGTCTCACCCACAGCTTATGAAGTGCAAGCTTCTCAAACACAACAATATATTAGCAAACTTCTTTTTAAAATTCTTTTTTATAATGTGGTGTTAAACTTACCAAGGGTGGTAGGATTTTTACTTGCACACACAGGTCTAACTTCTTCAGAATCATCTCTAATCAAAATACTTATAGCTGGGTAGGTATTGATGACTTTTGGAAAGCTAAGATTGAAAGTGCATCCAAAGATTCCCTGGTGCACAGAATAGTTGCTGCACTTCTTGTGGTTTTTCAAACCATCAAACCTAGAGGAATAACAATATTTTTTTAAACTTCAAAATAATAGGACAGCATGGGGCAAGCTTGTTTTTAAACCTGTGTTACAAATTCTAAAGTCTGGTCTTGCATTAAAGCTGTGCTATATCATATAAAAAAGTAAAGCTAAGCAAAGACACTTCTAATTTATCTCAGGTTTCAGAAAGAATATTATTTTATTAAAGAGTGTCAAGTAGCAGAAAGAGAGGCAGATGTGCTTTGTACCAAAGCGTCAAAGGTAACAGCTGCTTTCAGCTTTGGTTCACATTTTCCACATGGGAAAACAATTTAAAGGGAAAAAATAATATTTAGAGAAGCTATGACAACCTTCTTCCTTGCTTCTCTTTGTTCCTCAAGTCCCAATGAAAATATGCCAGTAGCTCTTCCTCCCGAGAAAACGTATTTTTTACTTAGTCATTTAAAAGTGATATAGAGTAAATCAAGAGCTTCATTTAGGAACATAATAGGAGTGATGTTCCTCTGCTTCACATCTCAATATGTAAAGGCTGGGGAAGCCAAAACTGTCTGTCCCGTTTTCAGGACAGACCCCTTTTTTATCCACCCTTCTCACCTCCCCACCCTGGGGCTGATGAAGATGGGAGGCATTCAGAGCAGACAGCAACACGCTGATGCAGCAATCTGCTCTGGAAAGCCTCTGTTTCAGCCAGCATTACTCTGCACTGCCTGGCCTTGTTTGTTCTAAGCTAATGTTACATTCATGTTCACTTCGGATTAAAAGATGGGGTTTTAGAGGAAAATATCAAAGAATATTAAATGGAACTAAGCAATAATTTTTCAGGCAACTGTTCACTCATTTCTGAAAAACAGAACCAAAAAATACCCTCTATCTCACCTGCATTATGGAAAATACATCCTTCAGTACAAAGATCCAAGTGTTTCCTTAGTTTTCAGTTTTAAAAATCAAAAAAGTATTTTCTTTCTAAGCAGCATGAATTACAACATTTTGTTGTCACTGCGGCTACATCTTACATTAAAAATAAGGAGCAATTGAAAACCTATAGCTCTAATCTAAAGCATTATTCCAGTAAGTATCCATACACCCAGAAATTCTGATCTTCAATGCCTCATTGGTACTCTTCTTTTAATAAAGAAAGAATCTCTTTGACTAGCAGTTTAGAGAGAGAACAGTCCTCCCTGCATTTAACTAAAGCAACAAGTTGCTGTTTGCTGTCCAAATGCATTAAACCGAACAGCTAGCCTGTGAGATTGACACTGGAAAGAAAGAGGAAGAAGTTTAGTTAGTTAGTTCAGATAAGACAGAAACTGATTTAAAACTACAACAAAGGGCTTTCAGAAAGAAAACTTCAATATTTCTACAGAAGCTAATGCAATCTGGCATTTCACAAGCCCCATCAACATGCAGAAGTATGCATCTATTAGCGTGTGCAGATCTTGCTGCCAAGTTTTTGGTCACACCACTACTGTTCCTTTGGAACAAAAGTCTATTTATGGCAATTAGCTGGCAAGCGTGGATGATGATAGAAATATGTCCTCCATAACTTTCAAGGTGAATCAGTAATTTATGACACCAAAGATACAAACAAAACTACTGCTAAGTGTTATTAATGCTTTCATACAATTTTCCAGTGACTTAAGAGCTAACCCATACATTAGTGAGTGATTCTGACTTAAATGGCCTGTGGTTGTTGAGCTGCAAATGAAGCAATTATTATATTGGTCTAGCTCAGTTCTTAATTCTTCCCTCTTTGAATCCACAATTAGAAAAAATTAGAAAGCAATAGCAGCTATTTTAAAATGAGCTACAGAAGCAGCTAGTGCTTCACATAATAGTTACATCAACTTCCCGAAAAGACTCAGCAACAGCAACCTCTTGACCCTTCAGCAGTGAAGTTTTCTGTTGGACAGGACCCAACACTGACTTACATGCAATGCCCTGGGACCTTTCAAAGCAAAAGGAAGCAGACAAGTAAAATGTTTAATGTAAAACCAAAGATTAGCACTAAAGCACTTTAGAGTTGGCAATAAAAAGTCCATACGAACCAGTAGAACAACGTATAATTGGTATCACTGCTTGCATTCTCCCCAGGACGCCACGTACAAGCCATGTACTCCAAATTGTGCCAAACACAGCTCAGATCAACAGCAGCAGTACCTGGAATCCCTGCAAGGCAAGTTGGAAAGGTCTCTTAAGATTTATTTTGCCAGCAAAGTCTTCTCCCCAATTTTCAGCAGTACACCATCCCTTTTTACATAACTGGAACTGTCTGGAAGGCAAAGATGGGTTACCCCTCAGCCTGCACCGCCTGTCTCAGCATAGCAAACAATGAATTCCAGTTGTTTATCGCTTGCAATAACTGAAATCTCAGCAGAGTAACTTCTAAACAGTGAACCTCAGTTTCCACCGTGTCTGAATTACTACTTAGGGTTACCCGATGCTAAGGACAAAGTGTTGAGTCAGGAAAATATTTTGTTCTATTAAACTACAGATGGTTTAAAAAGGAGCTAAAGTAACTGGCAATTATAGGGACAGCACTTAAGTTTTGTTATAGTTATTACAACCATCAACATTAAAAATAGTCAGCATTTAATTACAGTTACCTTCTCCAGATACAACACTTGTTTCTCAGTATTCTGAATATGGGAATACCTGTAGAGCTTAAATATGGACAAAAGCAACACTGGCTAAGTTGAATTTTTAATGGAGACCCATATACCTCTAGACATTCAACTTCTTCAACATATTGAAATTACAGAACATAAATACAAATGAGTACATAGCAATTGTGAATAGAGACGCCAATGTATCTCCCAGGCAGAGCAACCACAGAATAAAGTCTTTCATATTCAGTCTTGCATTTTTGTATGGTACAAGTTCTTTATACTGTATTATCATATTACAGCATATTGGATATTTTTTCCTTGTAAAAAGTAGCAACATCTCCATGAACTAAAAGAAATGCATGCTAATTGTACCAATAGTCCAGACTTTTATTGATAGCAAACCCCAACCTAACACCTACTTCCGAGCTTGCGTTCTCCCTGAAATAGTGACTAAGGGTATAGGAAAACGAAACTGGTTTTCCTATTCCAAGAAGTATTCAAAAATATTTCATCTGCAAGCAGACTTACAAAAGCCCCAAGCTGTTTAGTACATGCTGTCCTAATAATCTGCTTCCCCGATTTTCCAGAATAACCTTCTGACAGACACGCAGACAAGCCTGATCAGGTCTCAGATTCTTCCATCCACATGTGGTTTTCATCCGCAACGTGTCACGCTCCAGGGTTAGACAGATTTTACTACTCAAGGCAAGAAGCTCTATTTCCTTATTGTACTTCCTAGCTTCCAGCATCCAGCAGAACACACTATTACTTAAAGTCTGCTTCCTAACAATTTTGCTATGGAGGCCTTATTTCTGGATGTCAAGAAACAAAACGTATTTTTTTCTCTATTAATTTTGCTATGCACAGCTTTGTAGATCCCAGTCATCTCTTTTGAAAAAGAGAGAACCTTACTGTAATTATTTAATTAAGTGACTTATTTATTCAACAAGTTGTTAAATTTGCTGGATTCATCCCTCTAACATTTACAAATGTAGGATTATTTTAGGGACTTTTGCTGGTATGGAAAAATCCTCCAAAATAAACTGACTTAGATGTTAGTTATTAAGTCAGCAGGCTTAACACAGCCCAACTTATCTCTTATCTCACAACCACAGCCCAGCAGGGACAAGAGGAACAACAGGAATCACATCTTTATCTTGGAAGAGCATTTCAATTTTACAAGCTTGCCCATATGGTTTTAAGTGTCAGAAGACTCCCGTTGTGTTTAAATGCAGTATAATCGTCCTGTTTAAGCTCTATCAATTGAACTGGCCCTTGTGTCTGCTATCTCCCTATTTCTCTATGATATATGTCCATGATATTTTGTTAAAATAAGAAAGAAAACAAGGCTGTGTCTCCTCAGGTCAGGAGAGGCACGTCTGTTACCTTTAGGCAGAAGAGACATCTCCACCCATCGGCTGGGCTCACTGCTGTTATCGTACTTGCATTCGCTTCTCACTTTGAAACGCATTTCCTCATTCAAGAACGTATCTGTCACACGGAAGCGACTCTTACTCCATTCCTGGGTTTAGATGGGGGGAGAGAAAACCAGAACATTTGGCATGCCATATGAGACACATGGGAATTACTATTAATGTAAGAATATATTACAACCTCTCAGAAAGACTGACACTCAAAGCCAAATGAAATGAGTGTCTGATAATGTGGGAAGCCTTAGCATCACTTCGCTTTTCTTTTTCCTCATCAGGCACACTCAGAACTCACCAAAGGAAAACTACCTCCACTCCAGTGACCTGTACACACGAGCAAAGGCCACACAGAGATCAAGGAACAAGTATAACGTGGGGGAAAGTGATGCCAGAGTAAGTCTTCATGGATAAAGCAAAATAAGCATGTTTATACTACAGCTATATAAACAGGAGCTTACAGACCTAACCTTCATCTTTCTCTGTGTGTGCACATGAGCGCATGACGAACAGAAGAAAGAACACAAGATGTAACCAAAAAGCAATGAGAAGAGTTTGCATGGACTTAAGGAGCAAAAGAGAAAAATTATCAAACCAAATCCACAAATGGCTGTTAAATACAGTGACACCACGTCAGGCCCAAGTCCTCCATGAGCTTCCATTTTCAGAAGAGAGTACTTGTTTGTATAAGAAGACTCATACACTTTGTTCAGCATCTTTTATTGGGCTAGGGGGATGCCTTTTACTTAACTGGAAGCAGGATACAAAAAAAAAAAAAATCTTTGTTATGACCAAAGAATGGTGTAACCTCTCGTGAAAAAAACCCTAAATATTGGCACTAATGTGAGGGCAAGGAAATCAAACAGCAATAGTAGACCAGGTTCTACACACTGTAACACAAAAAGATGCAGCAAGATGATACAGTCTGGTTCATCCTGTTGTGTGAAACCGCTGTCCCACAGCTTTTTCACTGCTGCTGATCTTAACATCTGTTAGACCCTTCCACAAACTCATTCAGCTCATTAACCAGACTTTCAACCTGTTAATTTGTTAATGAACCCATCAGAAGAGGTAAGTATAGCTTCTGCTGAGTTCGCAAGTTCGACTTGCTAATCTAAAGGTCTGATGACAATCATTTGAGAAGGGGGTGTCAGAAATGAAATATCACCCTTCTAGCAGTGTTAAGCCATTAAATCAGCTCAGCTGTTTGTGAAACCACAGCCTTACTTCCAGTCCAGGATATCCTGGAGCTGTCAGAAAGAATATGGCAGTCATCATGAAGAGGACACTGTAAACATCAGGCCACTGTTTCAAGAGGCACTGTATTTATTTTAACCATACCCGAAACAGCAGCACTGCCAACCTCAGAGTTGCTGTGTATTCAAGGCTTCAAATTCTCACAGTTCGGACTTACGGACTGATACCATATTATATTACTGGTAATAAATTGTAAAAATACTTGACCTACACCCCCCTTAGTACCATGGCAATGCTGCTCTCAATCCTGACCGAACAGTTGTTAATCCACGCAAAGGATCACACGTGGGCTGCAAACCATCTAACACAAACATAAAAACAAAAGCCCAAAGCAAAGACATTTTACAATTTCTGTTCCAGGGAACAAATGTGTTCCACGTTGTCTTCGTAACACAACCCCCATGAATAATTGTAAGCACAGGAACAGGGCAAATGTGGGAATATGTTAATCCTTGGTGTTACTTCCAAAAGACGCTATGCTGTCAAATCACAGCTACATCAAGGTTAATGTGCACACCTCTTTCTTAAATTGGGTTCAAAGGGAAGGAGTTCAGCCTTTGCAAATTTCCATTTAAGTCTTAACGATGCAGGCTGCCCTGTACATATTTTATTTTTTCTAGAAAGCTGCATAAGCAAAGACTGAAACAAGTCTTTTCACATTATTATTAAGGCACTCCTGTGTTATCAGTAGCAGCTCAATTATCAGAGAGCAACAAATCGATTTTTCTGATCTGAATATCCCACATGCTGGTATGACTCATTTTTGAAGTTTCAATCCCATGACAAGAATTAAAGGCTGTATTTAAAAAACTGTATTTATATATATTTATGATGGATGGACCACTCGATGGATAAGGAATTGGCCAGATGATTGCACTCAAAGAGTTGTGGTCAATGGCTCCATTTCCATGTGGAGACTGGTGACGAGTGGTTTTCCACAGGGGTCAGCATTGGGACCAGTGTTGTTTAACCTCTTTGTCAGAGACATGGACAGTGGGATTGAGTGCACCCTCAGCAAGTTTGCTGATGACACCAAGCTGTGTGGTGTGGTGACACGCTGGAGGGAAGGGATGTCATCCAGAGGGACATGGACAGGCTTGAGAGGTGCGCCTATGCAAACCTCATAAAATTTAACAAGGCCAAGTGCAAGGTCCCGCACGTGGGTCAAGGCAATCCCAGGCACAAATACAGGCTGGGAGGAGAATGGACTGAGAGCAACCCTGAGGAGAAGGACTTGGGGGTGCTGGTCGACAAAAAGCTCAACATGACCTTCCAACATGCACTTGTAGCCCAGAAAGCCAACTGTGTCCTGGGCTGCATCACAAGATGCCTGACCAGCAGGTCAAGGGAGGTGATTCTCCCCCTCTACTCTGCTCTGGTGAGACTCCACCTGCAGTGTTGCATGCAGTGCAGTGCTCTGGGACCCCGTCATAAGAAGGACATGGGCCTGTTGGAATGGGTGCAGAGGAGGCCATGAAGATGTCAGGGGGCTGGAGCATCTCCCGTATGAGGACAGGCTGAGAGAGTTGGGGTTGTTCAGCCTGGAGAAGAGAAGGCTCCAGGGAGACCTAATAGCAGCCTTCTGGTACTGAAAGGGGGCTACAGGAGAGATGGGGAGGGACTCTTATCAGGGAGTGTAGCAATAGGACGAGGGGTAATGGTCTAGGATATCAGGAAGAAATTTTTTCCCGTGCGGGTGGTGAGGCAGTGGCCCAGGTTGCCCAGAGAAGCTGTGGATGCCCCATCCCTGGAGGGGTTCAAGGCCAGGCTGGATGAGGCTTTGAGCAACCCGGGCTAGTGGGAGGTGTCCCTGCCCATGGCAGGGGGTTGGAACTAGATGGTCTTTAAGGACCCTTTCAACCCAAACCATTCTATGATTCTATAACTTATATATGTACATATGCTTACATACACACGGTTTTATCGCAATAAGATATTTGCTGGAAAATAGCAGAGTTTAAAGAGATGATGCACTTACTCTTTTGTCCTGAGGGACATCATCAATCACAATGTCACTGGAATACTCCAGGTCACAGCTACTGCTGACATTCTCTGGGGGGTTCCATGTCCAGTTCATGGTGCAGATTTGGATAAATGAGTAGTCCAGGTTGGATGGAGGCGAAAGAACTTTTGCTCCTAAAAGAAAGAAGTTATCAGTGTAACAATCCTGTTGGTCCACACTTTACCGTTAGTAATATTGACAGATTTTTAACAATAGAAAAGAACACGAAAGACTTCTCAACACTGTTAGCTCGTATTTGCTATCAGATAAGGTACTGCCCGCTAAATTGCTCCTACTATTCTTGTTATATCAGCCATTAATAATTTAAATAATTATAAGAAACGCACACACACAAAAAATAATTGAAAAGTAATTTTTAAGAAATTGCAGCACGCAACAGTGTGGTAATGTGGTAATGAAACTTATGCTTGTGGAGGGAAGATAAGTCTCATTTTTCAGGTCTTTTCTGCAGCGAGCTTGCATCACGCATGTCAAATCTTTAGTAGAAGTATTATATACATTTTGTGACGCAATTAACACTTTATTTTACCCCAAAATTTTCCATCAATGCAGTTTTAGAAAGAAAACTTTAAAAAGACAAGTGATTACATCTTACAGGCGAGAGCTGTATGTTAGAACCACAGTTATACCCAATCCAAGCAAAATCGAGAATGTTAAAAAAACAACAAAGAAACCACAATGCTTTTTCAATTACTCACCTATTAAGCTTTTAATGCTACGTTCTGGCACAGTGCGCAAAAACAGTGTGGGACAAATAGTAATTTGCTGCTGGCGCACTTCAATAGTACATTTTTTCACCTCCCCAAAAGCAAGATAGAAGCAGAAGAAGAGCCATGACTCAGAGATAGTTGCTGGGATAAATCCATTTGTACATTGACCCTTGCTTACTCAACATCCAGTCACACAGCTTGAAGGTTGTATTAGTAAACAAAGAAGGGAAATATAGCAGAAAATAGAAAACTGCCAGGAAAAATTAAAGTATGTGTCAGACTCCAATTCTAGAAAAAAATTACCAGTTGGTAATTCCCTAAGAAAATGAAAGTGAATTTTTTTATTTTAGAGGGCTACTCTGATGTGTACTATTAAGAGAAAGAAAATAAGAGACCAAATGAGACTGCTTCTCAAAGGCATCTACAGGTATCATCACTGAGGCACCAACACCTATTTGTCTGTGGAAAGAAAGTACCCTTGTTACGCAGTAGTTTCACAAACACTTCAAACTGATATCAACTAGCGCTGCACATCTTGCTTATCCCAGGCAACTTGCTCATCCCAGGAAACCAGGCTCAAACCGCCCCAACATTTGAGTGAGCACATAGGGAAGGGGTAGAATAATTCCCCAGAGACCGGTTCTCCAACCCTGGTTGTGGTGCAGCCCATTTCCTTCTGCCAGCATAAGGAAGAGGGCAGATAGAAAGGCAAAACAGCTTCTTTTGGCAAGAATTCTGCTCAAAGCGTCCATGACACGATTATCTTACACTTCCTGAGTGCCAGAGCCGCCAAATCTTGAAGAAAATTCATCAAACTCCTGGAGGATTCTCAGACCTTTGCATAGTTAAAGGACAGGCAACGGTAGAGATCAGACATTATCACCATCTGAGTGTCCGCATGTATGTGCGGATAACCTACGCTTGCACAGAAAATGTGAATAATTACTAGGATTTACTGATTTAGTCTGAATATGCTTAGCTTTTTGGAATATTTAAAACTTTTGGGATTTACAGCTGACCTTGAGAGCAGAGAAGTGAAATTTTTGTTCTTACAAAAACACAGTCTCCTCTGAGAAAACTGAACCTAGCCAGAACATAGTTGCCTATTACTTGTTCTGCTAACAAAAACTTACGGCGGGTTTTAGGAATAGCATAGGGTGCTTAAATTTGCAAATACTGAATCCTTTAGGTCACGTAAAAAAATAAATATATTTATTCAACAAGGCTACACAGCTCCAAGCATTCTGTCTTTTCATGACCACACTTTTTATTACCTACAAAAGCTACAAACCATTAAAAAAATAGTGTCATTCCTGATTGCCGTTCTGAAGTTCTACACGTTTTCTTTTAATAGGTTTGATCAGCAGTAACTGTGCTTAAGATCACTGATTTCTAACTGCACAAAGAACAGGGAATATTCAAGGTTTAGAAATAAATGAATAAATTGTATTAGCATAAAAAGTTTAAATCTAGTAGGTTTCAGATTAATCTATACAATAAGCTCATGCCTTAATGTTGCATTCAGCTGAAGATCTGCTTTTCTTCATAGGCTTGGCCAGTCTCATACTTTTGTTGTATAAAATATACATAGTTTAATACTCTTGTTATTAAAATCTCATTGCTACAGCAATTTAGCAGAACAACTCAAAGACCAAGTATGAAACATAGGCAAGACATAATTTCACTTTTAAAAAACAAAACCACAGTGATGCTTCTAAGAAAATACAGTGCAGTAGTAGCCAGCAACTAGCTGAGGCAATCCTGCACAGAAAACATTATTTCTAAAAGCCTTAATGTGGAAATATCAACAAATACTTTGCAGCAACTATAGTAAATTGTTGTACTTTGGTTTTGTATTTTCTCTTCTTGTATTTTCTTAAGGTTGATCTCATAGTTATAATAAAAAAACCCACAACTGTAGCCAGCTGAAAATTAAAAATTCTCTAGTGTTTGCAACTGTATTTTTGCTTAACATTAGCAAAGACAGAACTACGGTGGCTTCCACCCTCTCGACCCTCCGAGACACGCACATCTTTCCTGCAACTAAACGTTCGTCCTTCCAAAAGCGGGGAAATTAAAAGTAAAGGCAAAGGTAATGTACCACGCACACAGCAAGGGAAACTGCTTCTGCCCCGAGCTCCCGCAATCAACCGGCAGCCCCGGCTCCCAGCGCTCCCGCCGCTGCCTTCGCCTGATTTCCAGGAATCCGCCGCAAGACACACGCACAAAGAGGAGGGCAGGGGGGCTTCTGCTTTGTTTTTTGAGGCAGAGACAGTCCCGGGAACCAAAGATAGAGCTTAAAAGATTTCTGCCGACCCTGTCAAACGCTGCCTTACAGAGAGAGAAAAGCCGGTTTTTAAGCAAAATCCCCGTTTCCCTGACCGGCAAGAGGCAGGGCGCTCCGCTGGCGTTAACCTTGCACCCGCGCTTCGGGAGATTTCCACTCCAACATAAAAGCAAGTGACTTGGATATAGGAACATATATGTACTGAGCCCACA